CCAGAGTTCATGTGTCCCTTCTGTCCCTTCATTAACGTCATATCAGTGAACGCATCCATCTTCACGCTGACAGCCATTGCGATCGACAGATACCGCATTGTAGTGAACCCTCTGTGGCCACGACTCACCAAATTAAGGGCACAACTCATCATAATTGCCATTTGGATAATAGCCGTCATAACCGGAGTTCCCATCTATCTGGCGATGGGCGTCACACTCATCCCCGACGAAGTGGCCATTAATAAGATGAATATCACCAATCTGTTCACTAATAAAACCGATAATAATTACTTAGTGCTGCCGTCGAAGCCCTTTTGTTACAATATTGGCATTTCTCACGACTTATTCAAACTTTACAACAGATTTCTTGTTGTGATTCAGTATTTTTTGCCGGTTTTTCTCATTAGCGGAGCGTATGGACGGATGGCATACACGCTGTACATCGAGACCATTAATCGACGGGAGAATCGCAAACACATTGTCTATAAGTTGAGACGAATTGATGCCATTAACCATCGAAACAGAAATAATAGAAACCAATCGCCCAATAGAAATGACATCTATATTAATAGGGAAAAGAGAAAGGTTTGCAAATATTTAATCAAATATATCATATATCAAAACAATTGCTTCACTCATATATTTATATTGTTAAATAAACATTGTCTTTAAATAGATTTGCTTTAAATACACTTTTTTCTATAGATTTTTAGTGAATTTTTAGTGTTTATTTGGAGTTCAGTTCAGTTTTAAATTAAACAAATGCGACTTTTCATATCAAACTTTCAATTTTAAAGAAGTATTGTGAACACAACTTTTGCGAATAAAATTGATTAAAACTTCTGTGTTACTACACTTTATATATAGTCTTATTAAGCAACAATATTAGCTTAAGTGGTCGCATTGAATATCACAAAATCAAGTCTTTGTAATATTCTATAGAGAGAGAGAGAGAGAGAGAGAGAGAATAGTTTTTCATTTATAGTCATTATACTTTTTCACAATAATATAAATAAACTATCACAGATATAATCATATTTCTTTTAATATATTTTAATATGATTCAGCATATCTAAATTAAAAATCATAGTTGGTTACTTCAGGGAATATAAAATGACATTATAGTGTAATAAGTGATATACAGTAAGTGATTTTTAGAAATAATTAATTATTTAATATGCTTTCGATTCATTGTTTCAATATTACATCTTGTTTAATGTAAATAATAGTATGTAATAAATAATTAGATTGATAAAATATGACCCGTAGTGTATTTGAGGTCATTTAGGCAAATATTAGAAAATATACATTTTTGATTAAACATTTAATATTTAATTATTATATAAGAGTTATTTATAAATAATAACTAAGGGTTGTACTTGAATTTGATATTCAAAATGTGTGTTTTCGGATAATTTGTCTGATGATTATACACAATTAATGAGCTATTTTAGTCTCCCTTAATTACAAAACTTAATAATTGATACACAAATGTATTGCTGTATAAGTACATCAACTCGTTTGTATCATTAAAGCATTTATTAAAAATTAAAACATTGCATATTTTGATATGAGACCTAAATAAAACCTGTAATTGATAAATCATAAATTACAATACATAAAATGTATATTAATAATCTACAATGTAAAATATATTTTTTAATATTATATTTTATAAACAAATATTTAACTACACTTTTTTATTTAAAAATATAAACAGGTACTTAAATTATTGGTGATAATTGTGGCTCTTTTCGCATTATTCTGGCTCCCATTGCAAACATATAATGCAATCTCCGATATATTTCCACAAATCAATGAGTATTTTAACACTTTTTACATTTACTTAAATTAAATTTTCTATAAAATATTTTATAATAATACTATGGCAATGGTCTATTTGAACAAAAGTGCCATATTTTTATGTTACGATTTGTAATATTGGAAAAAATCTGAACAAAAAACTATTGTATGCACTAAAAGACAATTCAGCAAAAATTTGATTACTTTTTTGTATGAGCTAGTTATTAATATTTCAAAAAATATTGAAACACATTATCCTTAAAAGCTATATAAAAGTTAGATAAATATGTTTTCTTTAAAAACTTATCAATAGTAATACGATTTGTTTTTATTACAATTCTCTATTTATATATTAGTTGATAGATCTCTAATCAATATTTTGAAAGAATATTTTAAAATCCTTCTCAAACTCCAAACATAATACCAGAATTGAATGTAAATCTACAGATATTAGCAAACATTTGTCGACAATCTTTAGCTAAATAAATATTTCCAAATCTTAAATATCGCTTGAAATGAAAAGTGTGAGACTAGTAGACATATAGCTGTGAATTAGTTGTACCGTTGTTTAAATAAATATTAAAAGCATTTCAAATTGATTTATGAAGTGATTTATTAAAATAAATTAATGAATACGAGTAGGCATTTCTAAATATAGAGCTTTAATACATTGCATATGAATTAAGAATTTACATAAGAAAAGGCGAGAATATTTGAATATATTTTACGTTCAAGTATTGTATTTTAATAAATAATGAGTTATAGGATGCAATTTACGGTCAATTTTTGAAAATTCAATTTCTCTGTTGTTCTCATAAACTATTTACAGTAAACTATAAGCTATACATACATTTCTTATAATTCAAATGATAAACAACTTCACTTTATTTTTCACTGTTTTTTGTGTATATAAAACAAATTTATGCCAAAACAGAATGTATTTTAAAGATTTTATGTGAAGCTATTTTCACTGATTTTTCAATCACTTTAGCGCTCACGTCAAACAATACAAACAATTGAGTTATAAATTATGTCGATTTCGTGAAAATGAATACATATCTGAAAATATTTCTTGTATATCAATGATAAATGTGATACTTATGATTAGTTTACTTTATTATAGCAGAATTTAACGCTAATTTAATGTAATGCTAAGTTAAGAACTAATTAATTGTTTTTAAAAATACATCACAAAATTTAATGTATAATAAATATAAGAAAGCTAATCTGTTTATAAATCCTATTATATTATTACTGTGTTATTAAAATTATATAAATAGAATTAGAATATTTGAATTGTTAATATATTTTATTTTAAGATATAAGTTAACGTTATTCCCAAAAGTTCAATCTAATAAAATGTCATGTTCATTTCAGATATGAATACATAAACATAATATGGTTTTGTTGCCATTGGTTGGCGATGAGTAACTCTGGTAAATATTATATTATATTAAATATTACCTAAATTTATATGCATATTGTAATAAATGGAATAATTTAATCATATTATGTTATATATTGAATATACAACACAATATTAATTAATCCTTAAGCCATACCTCTGGCGTCACTATTAGTGTATCATTCATTTAATAAGAAATTATTTTTATAGTAATCTTAATTAAATTTTATATTCATAATTTGCAGCTAATGATATGTTTACAAAAAACAAATTCAACAAAAATACGTAAAAACATCAAAAAAGAGCATAAAATAAAAATATTTAGATTTTGAAAGACTCTTAATTAGTATTCAATTTATGGCGTAAACAATGTAATCATTTAGTGGCAAATTACAGCAATGAGTTGCAAAACTTTATTTTGGTTATGTTCAATATATTAGGGAATATTATTTATAATACGTAAATGTATTTAATTTAAACAAACTAATAAATAAGTTTATTATAATAAAGTAAATGTAAGTAATCATAAAAAAATATTTACTTTTTGCGAGTTTTCCTTGAAAATCTTAGCTTGATCATACGGGTCTTTTGCCTAACTGTCACTTATCGGAAGTTTAGTTAATTTCCCATAAACAAGACATAAAGTAAACAATTTCTATAATGCTCACATGCTAGCAAATTAAATAAATTTTTGGTAAATTGTTTAACTAGAGAACACATCTAATTTAAGACATGTGATATAAAAATAATAGTAAAATTGTACTATAATTGTACAACATTAAAATCGCAAATTTTGTTAACAAGACTTTATTTATAATGTGTGCATCCAATGCTCTAAATATAAAATAAGACTAACATTAATTTAGTAATTATCATGTTAAAAACACGTTAAAACATCATTCAAACGACTTGTATGCTATATTATAAAAGTTATTAAATATTTGTAATAAGTTTTAAGCTGTATTTATTGTATTAATGAATGTCACACAGAATATTCAAATACATTTAAGATGCAATGAGGAAATGTTTATAAATATATTTTCTATTCCCAGTTATGCAATAGATGTATATTTGTCAACAACTTTGCTTAACTGAAAAGTGCAGTTAGGATAAAAATAAAATTAAGTAAATTGACTTGAATTTATTAAGACGAATAATCATTAACTAAATGCTTATATAAATTAATCAATTGCTTGTAAATGCTGTAATGAATCAAGTGATCGATAATTTGGTTTGTGATGAGTGGACACAATCTTCCAGTACAATAAATATCAATTTATATTTACTTATATGTCCATTTATTTTATAGCTTAAGTGCCATTTATATAGTAGTATTCTTTGCATACAAATATTGTCCATTAATTAAATTGATAATATAGCATTGCATAAAAATCTGTTCATTGATTTCTTTTAGGTTTTATTTCTATTCATTCATTCCTTTATTTAGATTGATAGCCAAAACACATACAGTATATTATAATATATTTTATGATTTAATAAGATGTTTATTACAGTATGTTACTTACCGGTATGTTAATTAAAATACCATATGTAAATAGTTATTTTACTAGTAAATGTAAATACTTGATATATTAATACTTTTTCAAATTTTAGAGCAAATTTAAACAATTATATGGGAATTTTAGTACTCTTTATTTAATTCATTCAATATAATATTGTTAGCTTATTTTCATATATATTACATTTTCTATCATTCCTATAAAATTCACAATAAAACACTTTTGCTCTACAAAAACCCATTCAATAGTAACAATGAATTGATTAAATACTAAAACTGAAATTAATTATAATTCATTGGCGACTCGTTTGTCAAATAATTAACATTTATAGTGTATAATAATTGATTATTTGATACAGTAGCTATTAAAACAGCCAAATTGAAACATATTTGTCTATATCTGTTGTAGAAAACGAATTATTACTTCCACTATGATTAAAGTCTTAAATGAAAGTTTTAAACGTAACAAGTAACATTTAATCACTTAACGGTAGATACTATTAAAACATGATCTATAAAAAAGCTTATAAAGTTTAATGCAAGATTGCAATTATTAAATGAATATTTCGTTTTTATTATACAGATGCTATTAGAATTTAATAATTAGATCATAAAAAAGTTAGTTAAAAAGTGATCAATAATTTTAAATTGATACTTTTAATTTACTGTATATTTGTTTATATTATATGGATAAATAAGTAATTTTTATTTTACATCGTATATTTTATGAAAATTTTATGTAATTATGTAAAATTAAATTGTATAAATTAATAGCTAATTTCAAGCTTTAAATTTATTTCAGGTGTGAACCCTTTCGTATACGCCATTTATAATGTAAGTATAAGTATAATAATATATTAAATTGGTAATTATTTTAAATTAATTTTGCATTTATAATAAAAATTATTTTAGTAATTTTAAATTCGATAGCATTTATAGTATCTTTTAAATATTTACTAGATATAAATATAGCTTGCAATATGTATAATTCATATGAGAAATAATAAACAAATATTTATTTTCCTATATTTACAGCTAAGAAATTGATGAAAGCACTTTTAATTGAACTGCACTTCAATTTCATAAATAACTAAATCACCAAAGACTTGGTGAGTGCAGTATTTAACATACTTTTTGATTTTTTTATTCTGTTTTAAATTTGTGAACATTTTTTACTTAGAACTCAACACAACTTAAGAAATTAAATATTTATTTATTTTCCAAATAATACATATATATGTTATTAAATGTAAAGTATATACAAAATTATAAAATTCATAAATTTTATTTAAATAAATTAATGATTACGAAAAAGTTACATAAGTAGTTATATAATTTATTTATTCACA